CAGATTTGCCCTTCCACCATGCTGGTCTTGCCAACTGGAGGAGAAATTCATACTTTTTAACGTACTGGGGAAGGAACATTTACACCACCAGTTGATCTGCTTAACTGTTGATGAGTGTTTATAACCAAGGCCACCTCTGGTCCCCTTTGTGCTGGGATAGAGTCAGCCTCTTTGCAGTGGGTCACAGTGAGAGCTTCCTGCCCATCACCCTTGCCCTGCCCCTCTGAGCCTTCTTCCATTGTAGGGGTTTATTGGGTCAGTCACATCACCAGAGGAGTTAGCAAGTTGGTGATTGACCTCACTGATTGTTGGAGAGTCCTGTCTGGGGGAGGTTTGAAGAAGAACTGGCTCCATGCTCACTTGAGCAGTTTTGAAATCATACTTTCTGCTTAAACACACCTGCATCGTGGTCAAAGTCTCTTCACTAGGACATTTTGGTGTTGCTTTCTGAACTCCTGCAACATCTCACTTCTTTGCTTTGCGACCTGGCACTCAAATGCTTGGTTTAATACTTCAACCACCAGTGCAGAGCCTGTGGCAGGGGCATGTCTTCAAGTAAATGAGGGTGAAGCTCCTTAGTCATACTGTCTTGAAAGATTATAAAAGCTACCTATGCAGTGAGACTGTTTGTTAGCCAATGTGAGACATCAGGGGATGTCTGAATTGTTTGCTGGGTTTCTTCTGGGAGACAATCTTCTGTAGAGTGCATGCCTGGTGGTGTTTCCTGAAGCAGTGTTCTTCCTTCTAGTAACAGGAATCAGTTTGGGATGGTCTGTTATTGCCAAGGAACTGTCACTACAGAACAGGCAGAGGAATTGTAAAATTCAGGAGGTGGTGTCTTAATTTCTTTCTCTCTTCCTAAAGATGAAACTAGGCATTTCCAGGAAAAAAACCCAACAAAATCTAAAAAAAGTAGAAAACCACACACCATGAAAGGCTAAAAGTCTAAAATGAGAGCATTAAAAGCCCATATGGACAACTTCTGCTGTATTGACTCATATTGCGTGTTAACCTTCCTTCCAAAAAAAAGATAACACCTTCAACCTTAGTTTTCTTTCAAGATTGGCTGTTTTGTAACCTGGCATTGGAAAGTGCTCTTTGCTGAGGGGTGCACAGTCACCCTCATGAAAGGGAGATGTGATTGTTCCATCTCCTGTATGAGGGTGCCCCTTAGGTGTCTGATTTCTTTTTGCTGTCCATGTGCTACAAGGATTTGCCTGTGTATCATGAAGGAACCCAGCAGTGTTGTGTCATACCAGATTTCATACAAACAACAGCAGAAGCTGTTCAGCTCATCAGACCATCTCTGGAGAATAGTAGAAATGCCACATCTAAAACTTTATGTGAAATGATTCAGAGAAATGTCTTTACTTCTGTATTAACCTCATGTCTCTTCTTTGAAACCAGCTTAACTGATGAAGAATCACGAAAAAATTGGGAAGAGTTTGGTAATCCAGATGGACCACAAGGTAACAATTATGAATAACAGAAGCCCTGTAATTTCTGTACATTGAGTGATTCTGATCATTTCAGAATCACTCAGATGTTACTCTATAAAGTAACTTTCTCCAGTGATTTGAAGCAATGCATCCAATCAGTTCTTTGCTTTTGAAACTGGCTCTGGGGTGATGCTGGGAGGGAAAGGCAGGAAAGAATTTCCTTTCACATTTCTCAAATGGCTTATTAGGGAAAAAAACAGAGGGGTTGTTTGATTTGGTTTTTTTAATTAGTCAGCTTCAGTAAGAATTGAGAGAGACTTGACATAATTAAAAGGAGGCATAAGCAAAATATAGAATAGTGCTCATCAGAAACCTGTCAATTTTAAACATTTATTAGTATTTATGATCAGATACTATAAATGTATATTGAAAAATTAACAACTAGCCAGAAACACACTTCAAAGGGGTGTAAGTGAAGATATGCATGTGTTTAAATAAATACTGGACACATACCTGCCTTTTATTTGCTGGAGGCTTCTATTTGTTAGAATGTAGCTGTATGCTACCTTCAGCTTGAGGTAGGTTGTTCTTGAGCAGGTAGCCACATGAAAATAATCCTGATTATGAAATATTAACATTTTACAGTAAATGATTCAAACTAAATTTAAAAGGGAACAAACAACCCAGCCCCTGAACCTGTGTTTCAAAGAAACAGTCTTTCCTTTCTCTTCAAAAAAACAACTATGCCACCTAAATCATAGTCTGACAAAGGCATTTCTGATGGTTCAGTTTCTTTAACTACTGTGTTTTATAGTGTAATAAATCACCTCCTAGCTTCACTTTGTTTCCTCACCAGGCAAGGAGGAGGTCTCTGTTCCTCCTGTTGCAAAATACAAACAAGATCTTGCTTCAGAAAGGTTGTCACGATATCAGCAAAACTGTAAATTTTAGCCTGGTATATGCACAAATAGCTGTCCTAGGACATTACCTGATGCTCAGCTGCTTTTTGCAGACATGGGCTACTACTTTAGTGTTGCCAAGGCATGGGATTTCAAGTCATGCAGTATGGCAGTGTCCTTGAATGGGCCTGAAGCTGTAACTTCAAAAGAAAACTCAGCCAAAAGCTGGGAACATAAACGCATGAAGGTCCTTGTGTGGTTGGCTCAATTTGCTTTAACAAACTGAAGGGACTCAGGCACCACAACTGGCCACAGTTCTCCAGGTGGGGTCTCGCCAGAGCATGGTGCCAGCTCATCTTGAGCTTCTCATCCACCATCACCCCCAAGTCCTTCTCCTCCACACTGTTTTCAGTCTGTTCTCCACCCAACCTGCATCTGAGCTTGTGATTGCCCCAACCCAGGTGCAGGACCTTGCACTTGGCCTGTCTGAACTTCATGCAGTTTGCACCAGCCCACTTTTCAAGCCTGTCAAGGTCCCTCTGGATGGTTTTATGCTAATTCAGATCTATGTCCTGTAGATGTTGCTGTTAAGAGAATAGTCTTCTATTTTCTGCAGCCTAAGTCCTTTTGAATTGAAAAGTTTCTTACCAATCATGCAGAAACTTGAAGTGGCAGAGGGTTTTGTTTTTACCATTTAGATCACTTCCCTAAAGTGACAAACTAATAAAATATTTTCCATAGAATTAATTTGCTCAAACAGTTTTCTTGCAGTTCATGTATTTACTGCACTGTATGTTTTGAAACTGCTGAAAAACTCTGCAAGGCAAAGCTCATAAATCTTTCAATGTTTGAAATATTTATCTTTTTTCATATATTAATAAATCTTGCATATCTATTTCACTGCAATATGTGTAGCTAAAATCTTTGGTGTTTAGATGTTGTGTTTAAGTCTTGTTTTATTGAATACTTGAGTCTGTTTCTAATTTAGTTTTTGATTTTGCTAAATTTGTTGGAATTTTTGCTTATTGAAGTGATAAACATGAGGATGGATGTTTTTGTAGCTTAGTGGTTTTGTTGGGATTTTTTTTTTTGTTAGAGTTAATTTGACTTTAAAACAGTTATTTAATATTTTACAGTTAATTTCTTTTCTTTCATCCTACAGCTACAAGCTTTGGTATAGCTTTGCCAGCTTGGATTGTGGATCAGAAAAATTCCATTTTGGTGAGTCAGCTTTCTTTGGTCAAGATTTTAAGATGAACTTTCAGGTGTTCACCTTAAAATGTTTGTGCTTAAACCTGAATGTTTTAGTCAAAACACAGTTTTTGGTCCTAATAAGACTTTGGTCCAAAGGCAGATTTCAGGAGTCAAAAATGTTAGAGCAGCTTAAATGTAAAAACCTTGGGAGAGTAAAGTATTAATAGGCTTGTAAGGACTTAATTGCAGATCTGTTAATGAGGTTGTACTGTGGTCACCCCTGCTAGAAAGTGTTTGTTGTTGCAAAGAAATGGACATGGAACTGTTTGTTTACTGGGGTTCTGTAGTTCCATTTGGTTTACTAGCAAAGCTGTAATCACACAGTGTCTGTGTGTTCTTTCTGTTCCAGTTGTTGCTGTAAGGTACTTGGCTTACCTGCCTGATTTCTTTTGATGTGCTAATCATCCCTGTCCACTGCATCACCCTTTCCCTGCCAACTCTTAAATTATTAAAGAAACCCACTTGAGACAATGCATGGATGATTTAAAAGATGACCCTGCTAAACTGATAGTCCTTATTTAAACACTTCCCAACTGATTACATTATTTTTAAGTTGTTCTTCAGAGATGATGACAGGCATTATGCAATAAGCTTGCATTAACCTGTAGCAGTCTTGTGGTAATACTACTTGACTGCATTTTGGAATAAAGATTACACAGGAGTGGTGTTGAGTAACTGAAATGTCTCATGTACTGTATTTCCTAATTTTTCTTTAGGTTTTGCTTGTGTATGGGTTAGCATTTATGGTTATTCTTCCAGTTGTTGTGGTAAGTATTATCTGATGAATATTCTACCCTCTGTAACCAAGCTGTAAACTAAGCTGTCTTAGACATAAGTAGAGTTGCTCATTCTTGCCTTTCATGGAGAGAGTGAGTGTTTCTTTTTTAATACATGTGGATGTTTTATTATGGAAAAGATGTAGCTGCTGTAGAATTTCCAAAAAAAAATGCAGTGCCATGGTAGAGAGAGGGCTGCAGGAAAATATTAGACAAAGCAAGAGTTAGAGACTGAGTTATGGCATTTGTCTTGTACCTTCTGTCATTCATCACATAAAATTAATGTTATATGATGAACTCAAAGGTATATTCAGTGTTGTTACTGTAGAGCCAGGACTCAGATGTCTGGCTGGTGGCACTGGAGTGATTACTGCAGGTGGAACTGCTTTGGTTTCTCCTGGCTGCCTTGGTTTTCATAGCTTCAGTTTTTATTGATCTTCTGTACACTATGAAATGTCTGCCCTTGGGATTTCTTTGTGTGAGGAATCAATTGCTAAGTGATATTCCAGGGCTCAAGCTTGCCTTACAGTCTTGCTTTTGAACCATGTTCCTTATCCAGTGATTGTACATCTGGGGCATGACATGAGGAAAGCCTCAGAAAATAGACACTCAGAAACCTTCATGTTCTTGAGAAGATGATTTTCATTTGAGGAAGTGTCCTGAGATCTTGGGAATTGCTTGCATCTCTGGGTGTGGAGATTCTTTTCTTTGAGAGTCTTTCTGCATAACTGAAGACTTTCTGTAGAAAGTGAAATGTCAACACATTATTGAATAAGCCTAAAATCCAGAGTACAATCTCTACATAATTTTCCCATCTTTCCTTCTTGGGTTTCATTTGCTGTCTGTGAATGCTTTTTTGTGTACATGTACTTTTAGTGGTTTATAGCAGGTTTGTCACAGCTCCAGTGAAAGTAAACATACTTCCTGTTGTTATGAATGTCCTGAGCAGAGAAAAAGAATAATCTGCCTCTTCTTGCCCCTATACCACAGGTAGATTTCTGCATTCAGAGTTGTCACAGTAAATTTCTTCTATAGTCAGAGAAGAGGAATAGTCATTTTTATGGAGCAAGTTATTTTATCTTTTCATTCTGAAGTAGACATGCAAGATGATTCATGCCTTTAATGGGCCTGTTTCTCTTTCCTGTAACAATAAAAAAGCCAAAGTTAACTACACTGTAGTCATCCTGTATCTGAGGTAGGCATCTAAAATAAAGTGAGGCTGGTTCCACCCTTTGAATCCAGATACACAGAAGAAGAAAACACTGATATGTAGTTCCTTCTACTGACCTGAATACTGTTCTGTACAGTAGGTGAGAGAGAGAACCTGTATCTGCAAAAGCAGTTGGAGCAGCTTCCTTAATATAGGTGGGCTCATGGCAACCTCATGAAGTTTTAACAAGGCCAAGTGCAGGGTCCTGCATCTGGGTAGGGGCAATCCTGAGCACAAATACAGGTTGTGGGGAGAATGGATTGAGAGCAGCCTTGAGGAGGAGGACCTGGGGGAACTGGTGAGTGAAGAGCTCGACATGAGCTGGCAATGTGCACTTGCAGCCCAGAAACCACCCATGTCCTGGGCTGCATCAACATCAGTGTGGGCAGCAGGGCCAGGGAGGGGATTGTCCCCTCTGCTCTGCTTTGGTGAAACCCCACCTGGAGAACTGTGTGCAGCTCTGGAGCCGCCAAGATAAGAAAGACCTGGAGCTGTTGGAGAGAGTCCAAAGGAAGCCACGAAGACAATCCTTGTGCTGGAGCAGCTCTGCTCTGGAGACAGGCTGGGAGAGTTGGGGTGTTCAGCCTGGAGAAGAGAAGGCTCCAGGGAGACCTTAGAGCACCTTCCAGGGCCTGAAGGGGCTCCAGGAAAGCTGGGGAGGGGCTTGGGACAAGGGCAGGGAGGGAGAGGACAAGGGGGAATGGATGAAAAGTGGAGGAGAGGAGACTGAGGTGAGACCTGAGGAGGGAATTGTGGAGTGTGAGGGTGGTGAGAGCCTGGCCCAGGTTGCCCAGGGAAGCTGTGGCTGCCCCATCCCTGGCAGTGTTGAAGGGCAGGTTGGATGGGGCTTAGAGCCACCTGGGCTGGTGGGAAGTGTCCCTGCCCATGCAGGGGGTTGGAACAGGATGGTCTTGAAGGTGCCTTCCAACACAAACAATCATTCTATGATTCTGTGAGAGCTGTTTCAGTGCTTCATGGTAGCTGATGTGGTTTTATTCTGCCACATGTCAGGGTTCCTGGTGGTATCGATCGATACGTTACAGCGGGGATCAGATTCTCATCCGGACAACTCAGATCTACACGTATTTTGTCTATAAAACACGGAACATGGACATGAAACGTGAGTCAAAGGCATCTTGAAATGTTCTTGTGTTCACCTGGAACTCTCCGTCTGATGCTAAAATGCTTTTGCTTTAGGAGCCTTTGTTATCTTAAAATAATGTTTATGGTTCTTTTAGGGTGTTTTAAAAAACTTCATTTAGTTGCAGGTGAAAAGTGTTCTGTAAAACTGGAGGAGGGGAGATGGAGGTGAGACATGAGGAGGGAATTGTGGAGTGTGAGGGTGGTGAGAGCCTGGCCCAGGTTGCCCAGGGAAGCTGTGGCTGCCCCATCCCTGGCAGTGTTGAAGGGCAGGTTGGATGGGGCTTGGAGCAACTTGGGAGAGTAGATGAGACTTCTTTAGTTTAGGGAGTTCACTGCAAACTTGGTCTCCTCTTTCACCAAATGTCTTGTCAGCAGATGATCATACTGAACCTTGCTCAGAACCACAGCTTTGAGGGTTGCCTTGTGTCTCCTACAGACTGGTTAAAAATGTAACCCTGAGTTGCTGAAGGGTGGGAATGAAGTTTTTATGGCTAAGGGTTCTGAAGAAATCACTTGTTGTCATAGAATATTGCTGATATTTTCTCTCTCTGCCTCCAATTGTCTCTGCAGGGCTGATCATGGTTTTAGCAGGGGCATCAGAATTTGATCCTCAGTACAATAAAGATGCTACAAGCAGACCAGCAGACAACATTCAGATACCACAGGTGAGTCATATCTAGAGATGTTTTGGGAATAACTGACCCCTTCATGAGAGGAGGGAGATGACCAGCTAAGAGACTTCAACTTCTTGAGGCATTAATTTTGTTGAGATGTAATTGAGTCTTTTCAGAAATAGGAATTAGAAACTAGATTTGATTTAATTTTGAAAGGAAAGGTAACATTAAGTGGTGGCAGTGCTTAGCTTAAACTGAGTATGTTTTTGAGGAGTGAACTAAGTCTGGAATTAGTGTGTCAGTCCTTATAAATTTTGAGTATACATATAAGGAGGTGATTGCCATTTGATAAAGTTTCTCTAGATCATTAACACACACCTGGTGAAATATGTTAATTCTGAAATGAAATTAGTAGTTAATGTCTGAATTCTCTTTAAATATTAGAGATTTCTCCATTAATTTCAGTTCCCCTCTGGTTGCCTTTTATTTTCGTTTCCATTAAGTCTTCCCAACAGAGGTGCCGTAATGCAAATTGTGGCAAGTAATGATTGCTAGCAGAGTTTTAGGAAGTCTTATTTAGCAGAAACTGACTGGTTTAAGAGCACAGTATACAGAATGCTCCAATGAAATGTTTTGAGTTGGCAAAATGAGGGGAAGTAGTCTTCCAGATTTAAGCTTTACATGCACACAACTTAATTTTCAAGTCATAAACATGAAGAAAATAGATGGAGATGCCTCTTAACTTGTCTTTTGTCTCTTTTACAAATTCTTTTTCATCTTGTGGACTTCAAGAGAAAGAGCTGGAAGTGTAGTTAGGTGAGGTTTCTCAGCAGGCATTGTGCTTGGGAGCACATGACTGGGAAAGATGACCTTGCTGATCAGATCTTCTCCTGTGCTGCTGCAAGCACTGCGATTGTGTGAGCCCTTTACATTTAATCATTCTGTATTTAAAATGCAGTCAAGCTTCTTTAACCACATCCTACTGAGAAGCTGTTCCAGAACTTGCTGTTCTAGTGGTTAGGAGTCTTGTTTGTGATCAGTTTATCCCCATGTTTTTGTCATTATTCTTGAGTCTGAGCAATTCTTGCTGTATGTATCCTTAATGTGTTTACAGACAGAAGCAGTAGCCCATTTGTACTCTTTTTGTCTTTTAATTTGCTGAACTAAGAGGGCTGTTGTCTTTTAATCCCCTCTTTCCCAGAAGGCTTCTCATGTCCTTCATGCTGCTAAATGCTGTAAGGGGTCCTGTTCCCAGTTGATATATTTCTGAATATGATATTATTTTTTAAATTGTCTGCTCAGAATTATCTGCACTATCATAGAATCATTAAGGTTGGAAGGGATCTTAGAGGATCATCAAGTTCCAACCCCCTTGCCATGAGCAGGGAACTACTAGATCCTATGGTAGGTCTTAGCAGTGCCTTAGCCAGTGGCACTACTATTCCTGTAGCTCTGCAGGGAATAACTTGCACCATCTTCTTTTCCACAACTGTTTCACAGGGTGGTTTAATACAACTAGTGTGGGATTGCTGAATTTTCTGCTTTTCTCTTATATACCCCTGTTTGCCAGCTAACAAGCTCCCATCTTTGAGCTACAGTCCTTGTTAGTGTGCAAGTGCATGACCTTGCATTTAATACTCTTGGATTTTGTTCCATTTCTAAAGCTTCACTAATCACTGTCACCTGTGTCCTTTTTCCTCTGAGCAAAGGGCAGTATGAGTCTCTGAAGCATCGATATATGAGGGTATTGCTGATAATTTTTGTTAGTGTATCCTGCTTTTTTATTTCATTGTTTTATCATAAATCCAGATTTGATACTTTTAATCAAAAGTTTTCTTACCAGTTTTGGTCTAGTGTTATACCAGGTTGTGCTCATAAGGAACTTCTTGTTAGAAGGTCTTTTTTCAAGTGTCAGGAAAGATTACTCAAAGGCCAGCTTATCCTGGCTGTTGATATCCTAACTTCCCTTTGTGGCTGGAGATTTTGGAACTTCAGTCTCTCCTTGGGTGACTTTTTGTCCTCAAAAGTGAAGCTTCTGGGACATGGATTGATTCTTATAAATGATGAGCTCCTGTTACTCAGCTTTGCAGTCTCTCCATCCAGGGTCTCCAAATTCAGGTGGGAGAGACCTGTTTGAACTGCACATCTTGGTCTAATCAGGATCAAGGGAGGTCATCCTGAATAAAGAACACAACATTTTGCTCAAGGTGATGCTGTTTATGTTGAAGTTAAAACACTTCATCTTCAGCCAACCAGAGAGTTCAGACTTTATAACTGTCCTTCTTGAGATACCCAAAACAACTTCTGAGCAGCTTTACTAGATCTGAGAGGGGTGAAAGGTCTCAGGGTGACCCTGTTGCTAGTGCCTGTTGAGTTTAATGTAAATACCTTAGAAATATAGTTGAATCTAGTCAACTGTCAAAACAAAATTGGACTTTCAAAATATTTATCAATAAAAATGTACTCAATGCTATTCATGGCAAATTTATTGTGAGCAAATCCTTACTTCCCCTCTCCCTCCCACATTGAAACAAGGCATCTAAAGGTACTTTTTGGAGCTGGGTTATCAATACAAATGGCTAATGTTCATCTCCACAGAACTTCCCAGGGGAAAGCTACTTCAAGGCTTGCTTTTATGATTGGAAACCTTTTCCTGTATTTGTTTCTCTTTAGCACCAAAATAGCTATTGGATTAACTGTTTTTTATTTCAGCTAATCAGAGAAATTGGTGGCATAAACTTGAAGAAGAATGAGCCTCCACTCACCTGCCCTTACAGCCTGAAAGCCAGAGTTCTGCTGTTGACTCATCTTGCCAGGATGAAAGTTCCTGAGGTCCTTGAAGAAGGTAGTGGCTTCTCCCCAGATAAATCCATTGCATGCTGCAGTATTTATAATTCTTGTCCACTAAGGAGTTACATGGATCTCTGCTCAATAACCTCTATGCAGTGTACTTAATTTTTCAACTTTAATGACTCTTGAAAACATTTGCTTAGCATTTACTCCTTCTCTGGACAGCCCTGTAATACAGATAACCTACTTTTTAATGCTTTTTGGCTACAAATGTAACTGATAATTTTTTTTCTCTTTGTAATGGAATGAAAAGTTAAACACGTGAAGTGTATTTGCTTTTTAGGGTAAAGAAATCCAAGATAAACTTAGTATTGTTCTCAGACATTTCCATGCATGATTATTTTTGGATTCTTTTAGTCCACTAAAGCAGGGATGGCAGGATTAGCACTTGAAGTAGCAGTTATGTATGAGCTTCAGTTTTTGTTGCTTGTAAATACACAAACTGAAATGTTTCTAATTTTGATTCTTAAATTTCTACCATGAAACTGATGGTTTCTTAGACTGACCAGCAACCTTGAGATATTCTATATTTTAATGCAAATTAAGAATAAAACCCCACAACAAACCAGTGAAGAAGCTTTGGTTCAAATTTTCCAGTTTCTTTCAGAAGAAAAGTGATCAGGTTTAAGTCACTAAAATCACTCATCTTCCTTGCTACTTAGTTACTGTGCATGCTTACAACTAAACAGATGTGTATCCAAAAGTAGTACTTTACAAATGGTTTTCCCAAAACTGATGTTCCAGTTAAAATCAAAAATCCTTTTTTAATCCTGTGATGACCTGAATATTTCATGCTATTTTAATAAAACTGGCCAGTTGTCTGTGCCATTCTGTTGCTTTTTTAGATGGATCTAATAAGTACTTCTTCATTTGGTGTGGAAGCTGCTTCTCTGGTTTACAAAATTTGTGCTCCCTCTTAGTTGCTTTTCCCTGTTTTGTTGGGGAATGTTACAGGTGGATGTGCCAGTGAGAATAAAGTGACATTTTCAATAACACAAGAATGGATAGAAATGAAGGCCACGCTGTTAGATGTCCAGTTCACTTGACTGTTTTTTTTCCTAATAGCAGTGCAGCATAATTGCAGCCACTTGTGTCTTGCAGATCAGCAGTTCATCCTGAAAAAGAGTCCTGCACTACTTCAAGAAATGATTAATGTGATCTGCCAACTGATAATAATGGCTCGAAGCAGGGAAGGTAAGCAAAGAAATTTATAAGTAAAACTAATACACGTGGTTCTTCATGGCAACATTTGTCAAGTCTTTGGTTCTTGTGGGAAACTTAACCTGTGATATTTACAAATGCCTAAATGCGCTTTTGTTCTTTTTATTCTACTTCTTTATTTTTATTTGAGCTCTCAATTTTGAGAATTGAAATGCTGCCACCAAGCCCTATGACATGTTGAGTATGTCTGCTCAGCTTCTTTTTGCAGTTAAAGGTTTCTCCTTTTGAAAACCTGCTCTTAAACATCTGGGCTGGTTTTGGTAGCAAAACATTTAGTATAAGATAAATTAAACCTTGTGTTCATCTGTCTTTTTTAAAGTTCTTCCTCTCCTATGTCACTTGCTTTTTTGGATCATTTCTTTGTAGGTTGCTCATGTTTCTCTATTTCAAGATCCTCTGCTGTTTATCTTGCTTTGTAGCTTTGTTCTGAACTTGCAGGGGCTTTGCTGTAATTGCCATAGAAATGACAATTTAATTGAAATGTAATATTTAAGCTCTTTTATTTTTTTTACTTTAAAAAAACAACTATGCTTGAAGATGGTTGCTTGCAATGTAAAATAACAAAGTTCAAATATTGTTGAAGGGCTTAAATGGAGACATCTTTTTAACTTGTTTATAAGCCCTTCCATAAATGTTGGTGTATATATATATATTTTTAAATCTGGATATTTTTAAAAATAAAAATACTTCAAACCTCTGACAGATTTCTCTTAAGGTGGTGTATGTATCAGTTCAGTCAGTTTTTAGTTACTGTTCAGCTTTTTCCAGCCTGGTGGAAAAGATGACAATTGTGAGATAAAACTTGTTCTACTCTCTTGCCTGATTTCTGCAGTCTGAGAGACTTTATTTTACATCCCTGAAAATGTGCTTTGCTCTGTGGCATCCCTTCCTTGCATCCAGTGTTTCGTGACAATTAACTGGCAGTCACTAACCAGCAGGTCTGAATTATCTTGATGGCTTCTTTGAGATCATCCTTAAGTATCATGAAGTAGGTAGCTGCCCTGCCAACCTTGCTGAAAAATCATGGCATGTGTTCTAGGAAATGCCTGAGAAAAGTGAGGCAGCAGTTCAGCTGTCCAGTCCAAGTGCAGCTCTTAATTCAGGCTGGAAGCTGCAGAGTAATGTGGAGGTTGTGGTGTGACCCAGGTGTGCACTGTTCCTTCACAAGCAACTGTGACTTGCATTGAAATTTGGGATGTTTAATGTAATGTGTTTTGAATGACTTTATGATCTTAGGTTAAAGGTCACCTTGTCTCATGCACTTTGACAAACAGAAGCTGTTGAAATACAGAGTCATAGACTGTCTTGGGTTGGAAGGGACCTCTAAAGGTCCTCTAGTCCAACCCCCTACAATAAGCAGGGACATCTCACACTAGACCAAGTTGCTCAGAGCCCCATCAAGCCTGACCTTGAATGTCTCCAGGGATGGGGCCTCCACCACCTCTCTGGGCAGCCTGTTCTAGTGCTTCACCACCCTCAGTGTAAAGAACTTCTTCCTAAATCTGCCCTTTTCTAGCTTAAAACCATCACCCCTTGTCCTGATGTTCCATGTTTTTGTGAACAGCTCTTCCCTAGCCTTCTTGTCTGTGCTGTAGTGGCATTCATTTTGTGGTGGAGGCAGTTGGGTGTTGTTAAAAGCTCTGTCCTCACAGTCCATTCTCAGGCAATATAAAGTCAGAGTTATTTTCAGAGACCAAAATAATATTCTCCAATCTTGTGAAAATATTTTTCTACTGTCATATGGATGATAAGTCAGTGCTTTAAGAAAGAGAAGAATTTCTACTCTGACTAGTGCTCTGTGGTCTCAAAGCTCTAGGTTAATTTCCTGCAAAAGCCAGTTTGTCAGAAAATATTTAGGGTACTTTTATTAGCTTGTTTTATATTGTTGGTTGTTTGGTTTTTTTAAATTTAAAGAAACCTGTGACTTTCCTTAGCAACAACCAAAAAAAATGATGGGGGAGGTGGAAGATAGGTCAGATGAAAAGTAAATTTTGTGCTGTTCAGTTGGGAGATCAGTCTTTCAATTACTTTTTATTTTAAAGGTAGGAGTTATAAATGTGTTACTTACCAGTATCTCTAGCTGGATAGTTCCTTTCAGGTGTTATTTACCTCTTTGCATTCCATATAGTCTTCAGTGTTTATTAATATACTGGGTTAAAAAAAAGTTCTGCTATATAGTTTGATTGGAAAGCTCATTATATTTATAGCTTGCTGTAATTAATGAAGAAACAAGCCACTTGAGGGGAGAGGGGAACATGGAGCAGAGGTGTCTGAGGGATCTTTCAGGTGCATTTAACATGGTCTAGTAGCTGCTCAGAAATTTGCAGCAAGATTAAGGTTAAGGATGGAGAAAAACAACATGCTGAAGACACCAAATTTCTGTTTTGTTGGGGTTTTTTTTGGTCAGATTTATTACTTTTTCATATTTAATCTGTAAGGTGTTAAAAAATGCACTTAAACTTGCCTTGTATCAACAGGCATGGCTGTTGGCACTGAAATATTGAGCAGTTTTGGCTTGGGTAGCTTTTTGGTCAGGTGCAGGTTCCAGCAGGTTCCACTCCTCACCCAGGTGTCAGGAAACCTGCCTTTATCCACTTCTGTCCTTGCCTTGATGGTGTGATAAACTGGATCCTACAGCCCTGGCAGGGTGGGCATCATCCTCCTGAAAATTGCCCCTGAGCCCCTGTTGTTGTGTCCCAAATATACTGACACCAGCCACTTACCAGATATCCATACCAAATACACACATTTGTATACATGTATTTGTGGCTGTACACACACAGATGTTTCTGTTCCTCCTTATTTATTTATATTCAAAACATCCCTGCAAACAGTCAAGGTAATCAAAGGTGGATTGTTTTTTTTTTCTCAGGAAAGGTTCCAAAGTACAGAGAGAACAGACATGCTGATCCTTCAATAAAATGACAGGCATCACAAATTACAAGTGCTTTCTGTAATAAATGTTTAAAATTGCCTTCAGTTCTTTCATATGCCCCAATGAGTTCAGGAAAGAAAAATTTAAGTAGCTGAAATTCCTCTTGGCTCACAGTAAAGTACATATGGAAAAACCTAAACGTTGACTCACAGCAGCTCCAGGGGGATTTTACAATGAGTTTTCTAAACAGGGTTTGGAAAAGTCTTGCTTAGGAGTGGATGGCTGTCTAGCAAAGTTAAATACCAATATGTGGAAACCTCTCTGCTTTCCTTTTTTGTTTTCTTTCCAGACATGATGATGATGATTAAATTATTTTCTTTTTTCTTTTTGCTCTGGTCTGATTAAAACTTTTTTCTTGTCTGTCTTTTAACCATTTTAATTCCATCTAGTGTTTTTCTCCTTGTACTTTTAAATGGTAAGGGAATTATAGGAAATTTCTAAAGGAAAAATCAAATAGTTATTTGCTCAGACACCCCTCTTCACCTTTAGGTTTAATTCAGTAAGCCAAGCCTTTGATATTTTTCACAGCTATTCTTGTTGCCTTCTAACATCTGCTCTGCTTAGCTTCAAATATACTTCTTTTTCTCTGGCATGAACATAAAGGTATCAGCCTATTACATGTCTCAAGATGAAAATCTTATAAATAATGCATTGTGTTCTTAAAGCTTTATGTCTACTGATAAAAAGTATTTAATGATAGGTTTACAAAGTAGGGCTGAACATGTTATACAAATTTAAAACACGTTGCTTTTTTCTTTTTATACTGAAGTGGTGGTTTTGTCTATAATAATTGCATAGATACCTTGTGCTGTTGTTCCCTGAGAGAGTGTTAGATGGAAGTCTTTCCCTTTCTTACTGTTCAGCTGTGATAGCCTAAATAGAAGGAAGAAAATGTCTGCTGACAGAAAAGTTGCCTGGTTAATTATGCTGGACATTTTAAGATGCCTCTTTTTTTGGCTTGCCTGAAAGCAAGGTTTTCTGCAGTCTGGAACAGCAGTAAACACTGTAAAACTGTAAGAAGACAAAAAAATATTAAAGATTCTGCCATCTGTTTCATTCTCCCCAAGAAAGGGAGTTCCGTGCTCCATCTTTGGGATCTTTGGAAAATTGCATGAAGCTTTCCCAGATGACTGTCCAGGGGCTTCAGCAGTTCAAGTCTCCCCTCCTGCAGCTGCCTCACATTGAAGAGGACAATCTTAGGAGGGTCTCCAATCATAAAAAGGTATCAAACTCTGAATTCTACTTGACAACATCTTGAAACATATTCTGTTGCTTCTTTTACCTATTTGCCTATAAGGTCCTGAATTCTAAAGAGAATAAAAATACATGAATCTTTCCAGGAATTCCATACAATGTTCCTGGATCTGTTTCTATAAAGCCCATCTTAGGAGGTAGGAATTAGGATCAGAGATCCTACAAGTGTAAAAGAGAACAAAAGATTGGCCTGTGTTGGCCTCACAAACAGAAGGAACAGTTTCCTTCTTATTACAAAGTATTATGTCCTATTAAATATAAGATTTTTCCAGAATACAGGTGGTTTTTTTTTTCCTTGTTTGGCTTTACATAATTCTTAATCTAGTTTGACAGAAAATACACTTGGAAGGTAGCACAGAGGAATGAATGAGTTAAAAAAATGTCAGTTAACCTGAGAAGTATTTAAGATTTTGTAATCATTTATATATGAAAGAGGGGCTTTGAAAAAACAAAAAGCTATTGCTATATGATTGTAGTTGGGCAAGTGTTGGTATTTGTAGAATTTCAGGACAATTGAATTGTTTAGCTGTAACCAACAGTCCTAGGTGATGTTTAAGTGCTTCAGTGTCCTTGTGAAGATTTCTTAAGTGTTGCATTTTTAAAACCCTTTTGAAGATTCTTGTTCATCAAATAGTCAAGTAGCCTTTTCCTTGGTATAAAATAAAAGAATCATTCTCCTAGAGGTACCATCACTTTTCATAATCCAGCCCTAAAATACAGGGAGGAGACAAAAAAATGTACCCATTTTTAGGTGTATTTTTTGACACGTGCAGTGTAAGTACAAGAATTAATACTTTGGATACCTCATAATCCCACCTGTCCCTCCCCTGAAAGAGGGAAGAGACTAATTAATTAGGCTTGTTTGCCCATGCATTGAGATCTTCAAAAATAGTCTCCTAGACTGGAGATATGATCAGTCAACCTGGATGCATGAAGTTGTTCTTAATAAAATACATACACGTATAGTGGTGAGGTAATGAAGCCTTCAGACAAATCTGTGTGTATTTTTATCCTTTTCCCTCTGCTCTGCAGATATGAAAAGGAGTAGTTTTCTGTTTGTTTGCAGTTCATGATGGAAAAAAAAAAAGTAACTTACACTTAGTTGATCCTGCTAACATAAATCTTAAAACACTGAAATGCTCTATCAGACTAAAGAACTTGATTAATAAGATTTCTTGGCTCAGCTTTCTAAAAAAGCTAGTTGAAACAATAGTTTTATAAGAAAGCTGTCCAGTTTCCAAGGGGTTGACATACCAAGGAACACACCAATGTTCAAAGCAGGTCTGAATGCATCCTCTTTGTTTTGTTTTTTCTCAAAACATAGGTTTGCTCGTTTCCTAAATGATGCTTTTTAAACACACAACAAATCAAATGGTGTTTGTATTAGTAATGTAGGGACACAAGTGATGTATTATCAAGAGTTTGTCGACTGTTTTCTTTCCTACCACATGACTGACTTTTATATATTTTTTTTTTTTCCCCTTTTAATGCAGTATAAAATCAAAAGTATTCAGGATTTGGTGAGTTTGAAAGGTCCTGATCGTCGCAATTTGCTGCACTTCCTAGAAGATAAGAAATACGATGAAGTTATGGCCGTCCTTGGCAGCTTCCCCTATGTCACCATGGATATAAAGCCCCAGGGTGAGTGGGAGGTCCTTTTCTTCTGTGTATGTTGCTTTTCTGACCTCTGGTCTGTTGGCAGTGAGGTTTTGGAGGAGACTGAGACACAACTCCCAGTTATTTATGTGGCTTGGAAATGATGTTCTCTCCTTGAGTGGCGGGCTCTTCTAGGTGAGATTTATGGTCGGAGGAGATAAAACCCATGGACACATTTCACAGGTTCCCAATAGTTTCTCTTACAGGAGCCTATCTGATATTTCATCTGTTGATTTAATATATCACCAGCCATGTGGAATTCTGGTGGAAATACCACTTTTATTAGCTATCTTAAAAAGTTGTGCTTATTCCAGAATTTATGCTCTGCTTGCTGCAGCATTGAGAGTCCTTTGTGAGACTTTTGAGTTGGAGACACTGATGACTAAATATTCATGGGTTCCTTTGTGACAATCCCTGGATAATTTTTATATCTGGCAGAATTTGTGCTCTCTCTGTTTAGCTACCCTTTGTGCTATTTCAGCGACTGCACAGTGCTTTTCCACTCTGAGGATGAGGTACATTAGTTCCTGTCATGCAGCCTTTCAGTGGGAAGTGAATTGGTTCTGCCATCTAAGACTTGTTTTTAATTTATATTATTACTGTGGCTGCAATTATCAAATTAAAGATGTGATATGTTTGGGGTAGCTTAATTTGTTAGTTTATGGGTGGTTCTTTGTGAGAAGCAAATGTGAATGGAAATAACCATACTGGAAGCAAATGTCAGTTCATTTTGGTACTTCTAAATGTTGTTTATCTGTGTTCTTTTTCAAAACAAACAGACTTCATCTCACTGTAGCAGAGGATTGTGCACAGTCCTGTTAATCTGCTTAAAATGCAGTCTTGGAATACCTTCCAGTATTTTGGCAGGCAATCCTTTTCTGCTCAGGGTTCTTTTGTTACACAAGGTATAACAATTCAGGTGTGGAATGGAGAATTAAGCAATGCAGATGCCCCATCCCTGGCAGTGTTGAAGGGCAGGTTGGATGGGACTCTGAGCAACCTGGTCTGGTGGGAGGTGTCCCTGCCCATGCAGGGGGTTGGAACTAGATGATCTTTGGGGTCCCCTCCAACCCAAACCAGTCTGTCTGCTTTTCTGTTTAGTTCAGTCCTGCCATTATATAAAAATATATGTATAAAACTAGTGAATAGTAAAACTTCTTTCTCAAGGGGATGGAAAAAAGTAAAGAAAACTTCTACACTGGTATATAACTCCATTCCTCCCCAATCTGGGGCATTCTCCAGTTCATAGGTTGGAGATAGAAACTCCTCAGTGGTTTTCCTGTGGGTTTAATGTTGGATGTTTTAGTTAAAATAATCATTACTGTTCTTTTTTTTTTCCTTACCTCATATTTAGTGCATTAAACTTTTTTTTTTTTTTCCCCCTATTGTTAATGTGGCATTGAAATTGAGTTGTTAATCATGAAAGTCAGGAAAATCAAAGTTATGATTCCCAGAACAAATGTAACAGGATCCCTTTGGTCATGGGTGGTATTTCATGTTTCTGAAGTTTTATGCTTATGTATATACTGCACCATATTACAGAGTGATGGTTCCCACAGCAGCTATAACTTTGAATTTTCTAACTTTCATGCAATTAAAATTTCAAACTTAATGTTGCTGTTTTATAGTTTGCTGAATTACCAGCCTTCACCCTGACATACTTTATTTGATGTTGTTAGAGACCTATTAAATAACATTTAGAAATGATTTTTTCTTTTAAAGTTCTGACATTTGTATGCTTATATTTAGACATGGCAAAAGCAAAGTTTAATGGAAAAAAGGGCTTGAAAGAAATTTAATAGATGTTTTCCTTTTCTTTTTACACTAGTTTTGGATGATGAAGATAGCAACAATATTACAGTAGGTTCTCTTGTCACTGTTCTGGTCACCCTAACAAGACAGACCATGGCAGTAAGTATTAAGACTACTTTTTCATTCAGGCTAACTGCAAGTATATGGTAATGCCAGGCATATTTCTTTGCAAGCTAACATAGTGTTTTGTAAATATAACTGTAACACTAAGATTTGAAATGGAGAACTCGTGCTCTTAATCCTCCCTTATGTTTTTGTTTCTGAATGAGAAAGTTTTCCTGGAATAAACCCAAAGTTCAGTCTGACCCGTTGCAGTTGCCTAGGGAACAGTAAAAGAATATGGCAAGTGATACTCCCTGAGGTTAGTAAATAACAGGAAAAGAGACATTCAGAAACTTAGTTCTTGAACTAGAATAAAATACTCACTTAAGTCCTTAGGACAGTGTTTGATTTCACTGTATGTGGGTTCATAATGTTATGTATCATTGGGGAGTTTTAGACACTTTTATGAAAGACACTCAGTGCAGCAGGATAGACATAACTTCATGTAAAGAAGGTACAGCAGTGCCATATGGAGAAACTGGACTGCTGAACTGGTAAGAGTGTGGCATAACCTAAGGCAGTACTACACCCTAGCAGTTAGATTTCTGACTTGGGTTTATCTGTTACCTTAACACGTAGTAATAACTTTCTTTGAACAAAAAAATGCACAGAAACTGATCAAACTTTTACATGACAAAAGCCGCAGTGTCAAATTTTGCATCTGTGGTATTCAGGTAATTGTCTAAGTAAGCAAAGTCTGAATCATTCCTCTAAGGTAAGGCACACAACCATGAGTATTACAGCTGAGGAACAAGCACACATTGGATGTGTGCTGGAGCCCAGAAACCACCTGTGTCCTGGGCTGCATCTAAAGCAGTGTGAGCAGCAGGGCCAGGGAGGAGATTCTGCCCCTCTACTCTGCGCTGATGAGACCCACCTGGAGAACTGTGTGCAGCTCTGGAGCCCCCAGCACAGGAGGGACATGAAACTGTTGGAGAGAGTCCAGAGGAGGCCACCAAGATGATCCTTGGGCTAGAGCAGCTCTGCTCTGGAGACAGGCTGGGAGAGTTGGGGTGTTCAGCCTGGAGAAGAGAAGGCTCCAGGGAGACCTTAGAGCACCTTCCAGTGCCTGAAGGGGCTCCAGGAAAGCTGGGGAGGGGCTTGGGACAAGGGCAGGGAGGGGGAGGACAAGGGGGAATGGATGAAAACTGGAGGAGGGAGATTGAGGTGAGACATGAGGAGGGAATTGTGGAGTGTGAGGGTGGTGAGAGCCTGGCCCAGGTTGGCCAGGGAAGCTGTGGCTGCCCCATCCCTGGCAGTGTTGAAGGGCAGGTTGGATGGAGCTTGGAGCAACCTGGGCTGGTGGGAGGTGTCCCTGCCCATGCAGGGGGTTGGGACTGGGTGGTCTTGAAGGTCCCTTCCAACCCAAACAATCATTCTGTGATTCTGTGGCTGAAGCCATTCAGCAGAAAGCTGTCTGTATGTAAGTACATGTGTTTAATCTGTGGAATTTCAGAATGCATCACCTCAGTGATAACTGAGGAAGTAGCAGGTATAAAGGAAAAGCATCCTGTCCATGTGCTAGATCTTAAACATGAAGGAAACTGACAATTTTGAGCATATTGAAATGTACTTGAAAGTTAATTTACACGTTTGAAGCAGATAGAAAACTCATTTATCACATTTTCTAAATGAACTCACTAGGTGATCTGGCATTGAGATACATCACCTAAAAACTAGAGCTTGCCTTTTATATGATGCCTTTTGGTAGTGATATCTCATCTTTGCAATATAATGTATCTGGTAAGACAGCTCCTTAATGACTGAATTGTTTCTAAATGACACATAGTATGTTTTGAAGAAAAAATGTATTAAAAAAATCCCATTTGCATAGGGATATTGTAGCCTGCATGATACTAACATTGTGTTTTGTCTTAATGTGTCAGATTTCTGATTTCAGCTGTGTTTTTTCTGGTGTATTTTCCTGTGTCCCTTAGCAGCAGTGCAGCTGTTGAAGTTTCTAATGCTTTGGCAACTGGAGCAGACTTTGTATTTTACTACTACTTGCTTTTGTGATACAGGATTTCTATGCTTTATAAAACAAGTAGATTCCTTGGAACAAGATGGCATGTTGTTACTAAATTTCTTTATTATGCTAGTGGTAGAGAAATCCTGGAATGTTGAAAATAGTGTTTAATTTTGATGTTAATCTCCTGTTGTGTTTGTCACTGATAAAAGAATTTGCCACAACCTGCAGACCTGGTTAAGGTGCTTTAGTTTGAGTTCAAATCTAAAATAGTAATGTGCTCTTTTGTTACAGAAGAGAAATTAATTGTTTTTCACATCT